CCCCAATTCAACCGATTCACAAATTTTTGCAGAGAAGAGCGCGCCAGGTGGGCGCCGGCCGCCCCGCTCTCCCCCGGGGTGCCCCACACGCAGCCCCGCCGGGCTCTGGCTGCCCAGGACCAAGTTCAATGTCAGAGGTGCCCCCGCGCCCCCCACGGGGACCACTGCGGGCAGCGACGCTGCAGCATCAGCAACAGAATTTTATTTTTTCCGTAATAAGGGGAGAAAGGTGGAGAGAGAGAGAAGCGCCTTTTACTGGGGCGCGGGGTTTTAAAGCCTTGCACTTGAACTCTTTGTACAATATTTGTCTTCAAACCGCCGCGACTCCCGCTCAGCTCCCTGACATCACACCTCGGCCCGTTCAGTGCCCGAGACAGAGGCACATTTCAGTGTCTGCACCAAACTGATGCTGCTGCGCCAGACGGAATGGGCAATTAACAGCCCGATTTTATAAACCTGACACCCAGGTAACACTTTGCCAATAATTGTTTGCAAACCAGCAACAGGGTGAACCAAACTTTTGTGCAAGCAAAAAGGGTGGGGGGCTTAATTCCTGCAGGGCCCCTGTGTAAGAAGGTTTCAGACTTCAAAGGCTGAAGAACAGAAAGTTTTCTCCTCCTCCGCAGGAAGTAAAACCAAAGCAGCAAGATTCTGAACAGCTAAGGACTCAAGTTGAAGCTACACAGACCTGAAAAAGGCAAAGTTTGCAAACAGAAAAAGGAGTAAGTCCACAACCGGGGATTCCAGTAAAGAGAAACAGAACGGCAGGGTAAATCCCCGACTGACAGACTAAAATGGAGGGAGGATTTCTGGTCATAATGAGAGAAAAAACACAATCAGAAAAGATTTCTGAATTCCACAAACCGTGTACTTTCACTTTAAAAAAAACCAAAAAACCATTACTGATGCAGCTTTTTAAGCAAGCAAAAAAAAAAGCTGAGCAGTTGTAACAGAAGGGACAAGGGCACTGCCCCGCCGGGAGCGCCGGGACCTCCATCACGTTCGTTACTACACAGACACCGTTAGGACAAGGGTCGGAACCTGCTCTAAGCCAGGTTCCAGAAATTAATGAAAAAGGATACCCGAGGAAAGCGCTGAGGCTGAGAGCTCGCTCCCATCTTGTACTGACAGCGAGGAAAAAAAAAAAAAGACATGGCAACAAAAGTAAAAGCGTAAGAAATTCAACAAGCACTACTTGGAATGAAAATAGAATTCTATAAAGTGTATTACAGCATGGTCTGTCATTTAAGAAGTAGTAGTAACATATTTATAGATCTTTTATTACATAGTGATAACCCGGAGAAAAGGAAGTAGATTATTTAATTCATGTACAACATAAAGAAGCGATAGAGCAGAAAAAAACACTTTCCCATTCAACGCCATTCTAAAGATGCTTTTTAATTAGACATTTAAGCATTAAACATTTCTCAGTAGTAGGTTAAACTACTAAATACAGTAAGTTTCAGTGCATTGTCCAAGCAGATGTGGAAATGCATACACATTCAAAGGGCTTTGTGGAAACCTAGTATTAAATCCCCTCAGTTTCCTCAAACACAGAGCGAACACTGCAGTTACAGAATTTCTGGCCTTTATTTATCAGACCAAAAACCAGTAAATCCTCCAGCTACGGGTAACGCAACACTGTCAACCTGCTGAATTGGGAAAAAAAAAAAAAAAAAAAAAAAAAAAAAATCAAGCCTGTGTAGATATTTTCGTCAAGCAGAGGGAATTTACCTGATTTCTAGACACTGTTTAGAGTCAGCCCCGCTTCGGCCGGGTAAGGGCAAGGGAAGCGACCACCGGCCCCTCTCAGGCCCGCCAGCACTGCCGCTGGGGCTGGCACGCGGCACACACCTGTGCCACCCTCCAGCGCCGCCCGAATAAAACCCAGCCCAAGAGACAATAGGCAAAGCTTATCCCAGAGCTGCCTTTTCCACCACCATCTGAAGAAAAAGGGAAGCAGGAAAATACGTGCAACGTTTCGCAATGAGCTCAGAGCGGCTCTCCAGCAGCCTGCTCCGCCGGCGCCACGGGGAGCCCAGCTCCCGCGGCCCGGGGTTAACCCCCCCAGACGGGAACGCCCGGCAGGAATCTCGGGTGGTCGTTTCTGACCTGGTAGCAGAAAGGGGCTGTAAAACTGTAACGGTGGCGACAGCTCTGATGTGAAACAGGGCAAAGCAGGCAGTGAGGATTTTTTTTTTTTTTTTTTTTTTTTTTTTTTTTTTTTTTTTTACATAAGAGAAACGTACTCGTTGCATCTCCATTAAGTACGGGGAGCTGCGATGGGAACTAAATCTGGGAGAGAGAGATGCGCATATGGGCCTTGTCTCCTGACATACTGCTGTTATTTCCTACGAGCAGACTGGGACTAAAAAATCACCTCATCTGTGACTCCTCCATGAGAAGAATTGGCACACGGTTTTGGCAGCTACAAGCTTGATAGACAGCAGACCAGGCATGCCACTCTGGCTAGCAGATGCACCGTTGTGGTAACCCCACGGAAATCAAGCTCTCCGAAACGCTGATCATAAAAACAAAACAACAAAACAAAAACCACAAAAAAAAAAAAAAAAAAAAAGGAAAAAGAGTTCAAGTGCTGGTGCTTTATCTTTAATGTGTAGAGAAGCCCATCAGCAGGACACGGGAAGCGCGAGGCGAGGAGCAGCTTCGCTTCCCCACGCTGGCGCTTTCTCGCTCGAGGCGTGAGGAACACTGACCCCACAATCACCTCCCTCGCTGGGCTACAGGTCTGGAAGTTTACCGAAAAGAGCACTTACTGGGGGAAAAGAATAAAGTATGTCTTAAATGGATATCTTGGTTGGTATTTCAGAAGCCGCATTCAAAGATACGAACGTGTTCCGGCTATCAGTGATACCCCTCACGAGATCCACACCGCTACGGTAACGCCGCTCTTACCGCAAGAGGGGAAGTAAATCCGCTGAGAAACCGAAGATCACATTTAGGTTATCCCACAAAATCAGCGTAAAAATAAAAACTTAAACCTGGTATTTACAGATTAACAAATAAAAATATGGAAGTGGGACTATCCAAGCTGCTATTAAAGTGACATTCAACAATTAACTGGAACCCTGATATGAGTGTAACATCCGCCCTCTTCCCTTCCTATTTTTTTTTTTTTTTTTTTTTTAAAGAGAACTGGTTGACATTATTGCTTGATCCTTTTTAGGAAAGACATTCCCATGAAGCCATTATTCCACATGCTGACAAAACACAGGATATACCATTTCAAGAGTGACAAAAGTTAACATTTTGTTCATCTAAAAATTATATTAATCTGCTAGGTCAGCAGATCACATGTAAATATAAGCCAATCAAAAATACATTTTACAAAAAATAATCAAGTTTCCTTTTTCAATATGGCAGTAAACATAATTTGTTCTTTCACTCTCAACTTCCACAAACCTCATTCTAAATAGGAGCTTACTATTTTTTCACCAAAAAAAAAAAAAAAAAAAAAAAAAGATAAATTTGATTAAAGTTGGTATTTTCATAAACAAACACAAAGCCCAGCCTTACACCTGACGTGACTGCCAGAAGTCCCGGTTCTGAGTGGCTGAGCACCCACGTAGGAATGCAGCCCTTGGTCAGCAGCGAGGGCACCTTCCCGGCGCACTCCCAGACCAAATCTGACAATCCTTCGAGACTTTCTGACGCGCTACCTACGAACCACCGGCTCTTCTTCCAGGCGGCTCGAAAGCGACTCTCCTCCCACATCTGCAAAGATACAGCTTTGTGTTTGGCTATGAACATTAAGCAGCTTTCTCCACAAAACAGGAAGGCACCATGCACATAGCAGTTGAGGCAGGAAGCAAACAGCAGCAACATGACATGTGAATTTTAGGTTCAGATGAGTTAAGGCTTCTGTTAAAACTTCTTTATCTTCTTCTAGTTAGACTCACTATCTGCAAAGGAAAAAAAAAAAACAGAAGCCGCTGAAGTCATAGTATGACACGGTGGAGCGAGCAGTCAGAGCCCCGGTGGCGTCTGAAACAGCAAAGCCCCCCCAAAGGCACGTGGCTGTCGCAGCCTCAACTCGGGCTCGTCTGTTTAAGGTGGCAAATGCTCAAGGGCTGCCCAGACAACACACCCCAAAGGCTTCCAACACGCGGGCGAGCCTCAGCCGCCCAGGGACAGACCCGCTCCTGCCGGACGGGAGCACCGTGACCCCCCAGCACAGACCGACCCAGGGGCGTCACAAGGATCCGCAGAGAGTCGGTGAAGCTGCGTCACCGTGAACAAAACCTTCACCTCTGTGAAAAGTCTCTGCCTCACGGCGGAATTTCCGTTCCTGGCGGCACGCTTCACTGAGTCTGTTGTGTGTCTGTGCTGAGGGAGCTGCTAAACCGACACAGCAAGGAGCCGTTTGCCACGTGAGGTTTTATCACGGATACTTCCACGGAGCAAAGCCCCTCCTTCTGTCAGAAAGTACCTTTTCAAACCTGATTCTCATAATGGCTCTGTCTCTTCTTCGATTTCAGCTCCTTCAGCCACTGAGGAGACTTTTCTTCTGACCTAAGATATAAAAAAAACCAAAACAAAACACCCAACCTCTTTTATTCTTTAATGATGAAAACTCATTACAGAAAGAAAAAAAAAAAAGTAATATCCGATTTCCCCCAGAGCCCTGGGGAGCCTACTTGCAGTATTCTTTTCTTCCACCAAAGGAGCATTAGAGCCTTTCCGACACCGGCGGAGCCTCTCACCTGTCCTCCTTCTCCACGCTGGAGGGCAGCAGTCTGCCACCGGCCGTCCCAGGCGGAGCCTGCGGTTTAGGGGATTTGAACAGCTGAGCAGAGCTTATTTCACCAGGACTCTCGGACTCTTGTCTTCTCCGCAGTTGGGCCTAAATACAAAAATAAAGGGCTCGTTTTTAAGCCAGACTTTTCTTGGAATACCAAACAAATCACACAGATGTATAAAACCAAAACAACAAACCACATGCACAACCGGCGAAGGGATTCCTTACAGACCTCCGCGGTTTTGAAAGCAAGTTTGCTATTGCAGAGCCAATTCTTTTTTTTCCAAATCACTTCGCATTTCTAGCCAACAGTTAAAAGTGAGAAAGATAACTGCAAGGTTTTTTCCAGACATCACAGCCAGCCCCCCCCC